TATTTTTTCCCTCGTCTTTAGAAGTTTTTAAGTCTGTAAAAAAGACGTTTTTGAGGAAGAAGAAGAAGTAGTATTTTTTTATTTTTTTTAGACTTTAGAAACTCAGAAGCTGATCAATATCGGGTTAAATATCGGTGGGGGGGCCGATGTCCGATATTCAGTTTTAAGGCCGATACCGATAGGGGGCCGATTATATCGTGCATCCCTACTGCAAACGTTTTAGGTATAAATAATGATCCATTGATCATTCCTTGCTGACCGGACTTTTCCTTTAACTATAATTACCAAAATGAACCTTTTAAATATTAATATATTTCTGCACTAATAGACAATGATTCAGTTGAATTCGGTCGTTTCTTTTTACTCTCTTTCATCTCTGCTTTCAGAGTTAAACTTCCGACCTTCAATCAGCTGGTTCTGCTTCCTGACGTCCAGCTGAAGATCTTCAACCATCCTGGGAAACTGGAGGTGGCTGGAGAGCTGGTTGCTAGGCGCTGAGAGGAGGGGTTCAGCGAGGCGACTCCTTCCTCCCTGTGCTGCTGAACTCAGCAGCTGATGTTGGACAGAAGGAGGAGCTCCAGATTCCTTTACGCTGAGCTGCTTATCGGACTGAGTTGTCTCCTGTTTCTGGGTTTCCACAGGAAGTGGACTGGGATCGACGTCCAGCTTCATCTGGTCCGCGGCTGTGATGCGGCTCAGGATGCTGGACTGCCGGCGGCTGGCGGCTCGGCCCAGCGTGGATTTAACGTCTTGTAGGGTAACTTTCCCCCGGTGACCTCCTACATCTGTGAGTCCCTCCTTATCCTCCCCGTCACCGTCCACCCAGACGTTTTCCTTAATACGACGAAGGCCTGATTGATCTGGACCCAGATTAGAGTCCAGAGAATTCCAGCCACAAACTACGTCCTTCATCTTTGGCTGTTTTTTAACTTTAGTTCCTGAAAAAACGTTGGCATCATGAAATGATTCTGGAGCCACTTTGGTCTCTGTTTGGTTGCTGCTTTTACTCAAACTGGAATCTTTTGAGGCTGATCTGGTTTCCTTCACACTGGCGACGGGCTTCGCCTCTTCTATCAAAGCACGGAGACTCTTCTTCTCTGGTTTTGGCAAATCAGACGATGGAGAGGCAGAGGAGGCCGTTTCTTTGAGCTTCTTCTGCTTCTTCTTATTAGCCATCAGGGTCGACGTTAACTGCTCGGACTGTGATGCATGTGCAGAGACTTTCTTGCTCTTCTTTGGCGGTTGATCTGTTGCCATGGGAGATAATTGCTTGGGCTTCTTTTCCTTTGTGGTTGTTTTAGACAGAACTGTAGCATCCTGTGTGGTTGGAGGTGTTTGAGAGTTCGCAGCTGCTTTGCAGTGAGGAAGGTGACTCTTCAGCCTTTTGAACGTTTTTCCACAAAATGGACAAACCTCTGTGGGCAGAATATGAGACGTTAAACACACATGAACAATAACGGCCCACAGTTATAATCAGGGATTTCTATTTGAAACGAATCATCCTCTCCATGCGATGGAAAAATTGAAGATGAGATTTAAATCAAATGTTAGGATGAATCACAGCTTTATAGTTTTGATACAACTATAATTATTTAAATATTACACATAATGTAAAACCAAAGGAGGAATGACTGATAATGAAGATTAGACAGCTTCACTTTAAAGCAAACAATCCCTAATTATTTATAAGTAACGTGCAATAAATGTTTTGTTATACAAAAATATTTCCACAACTGAAAAAATAAATAATTTATACCCAATTAAAATTTATATAAAAATAGATTTAGATATAATCTAATTATTATTATTTTTATTCATATTTCCCATTATATGTTCTGACCTTCTAATTTCTCCTTGGAGAACAACTATTTAAAATAACTTCATCCGATATAACTTTAAAAGTAGATAATGGTTCAGATATAAATGAAGCCGTTTAGGAACTAATATTTTGATTAAATCATTTTTTTAAGGACTTACCTGAACTCATTTCAGGCGCTTTTTAAGAACATTTTCCGAAAATAAAGACAGAATCACTTGTTTGTCAAAACATTAGCCGATAGCTTCAACGTTTTTAGCTTCTAGCTTTCAAAGTTCTGGCTTCTTTAGGGAAGGACCCTTTTAGGTCGCACGCGAGAAGCCTGAGTGTAAATAAAGACGACTACCGCATAAATTTGGCATAAGCTTTTAAAAGTGTGGAGTTTCAAAACTAAACTGGCATTTAAACACAGTAAACATACAGCTTATGACAGACTGAAGTAGTTAGAATCAGATTTATTTTTAGGTAGGAGGGTGGACAACTCCGTTGCCGACCAAAAACGATACGTCAGCGCGTTCCGCCATATTGTGAGTGGTAGATTTTATAAGGAAAAGGAAATTGAGCTACAAAACTAGATAAAAAAACACAAACAAAATAAACAACAAACAAACAAAAGAAGCAAGTTTACTTTCATTTAACTACAACAAATGTTTAGGCATCTTTTCAGTTTCAGTGCAATGGGTAGAGCTGAATGTGCTCAGCAGGAGAGTCACTAGTAGTGTGAAAATAAAGAGGCATATTTTTCATTATTTTAACATCTAAAAAAATAGAATATATTGGCTTTAAACATTTATATGTGCATTATTATTTACTGGTACAACTAAAACTGATCTTGATAACATTTCCCAATATGGCCAAATAAAAATCAGAATTAAAACATTACCCAACACTTATTAACAACGAACGGCTGCTTCAATGTCATATGTAAATGCAGAGAAGAAACAATTCTTTAAATCCAGATTACAAATAAGGAAAGTTGCCTTTGACTATGAGACGTGAACATTATTATCCAAGTTATCAGTTTAACCCTCCTCTCATTTTATTATTTTATGTTATATAATCATCTTATTTAAAATCTTTATTTTTATTCTTTTCAGTCTATTTACGTCGATAAACCTGGTGGCGGAGGTGCTGAACTAAAGTATTGTTCTTTGAGGCAATCACTAAGTGTTTTCTGCAATGTTCAGGAAATGTTCAGTTTGATTTCTGCAGCTGTTTCTTTGTTTTTTATTACTGGTGTGAATTTATAATTTTCTTTCATGGGAAATCCTGTAAACCTTCGAGCACAACAGTAAATAAACTAGCATTCTCTTATGATTGACGTGAATTTAATCCTGAGAATCAATAACAATTATTTTTTGTAGTTATATTAAAAAACAGTATTTTGAACCCTTTAAAGCCCGATCCAAGAATAAAACAAAACAGAAAATTACTTTTTTTT